AGCAGATGAAGATTGAGCAGCTCTCTGGAAAGTGGAAAGATTACAAAGTGGAAAGTGAGAAATGAGAATATGACTAGTTTCTAGGGTTTTAACTTTTAGGTTTATATTGGACTTGGATCATTTCACCAATTGATGGATCATTTTATCAATTACAAGTTATAAGCCCAAATCTGAATATATATCTAATTTGTACATATTGAAAATTAATAAAACTAATTTTAAAATATTTACAAAATAGATTATATAAATATTTTTATGTATAAAAAGTTAAAATTATATAAGTATTATGTCGGTTTGGGTTGGATTCGGTTTGACTTTTTTTTTATTAATACCAAATCAAATCAAGAATGGTCAGTTTTTTTTTTCAACGCCAAACCAATCAAACCAAACCATAAGTCGTTTTTTTTTCTCGGTTTGACTTGGTTCATCGGTTCGGTTTGACTTTATGGTTCGGTTTGTACACCCCTACAAATAGTATTTCTTTTTTAATTCTACTTATAATATTATACGGAATATGTTGTTGTTATGAAATATGTAGCTGAATGACGTTTGAGAAATTTTCAAATAGATGTTTGCTTGTGTTTTGCTCCTCATCTGGAGTCGAACCCAATAATGAATTCTCTTTTTCCTCTTTGTTTAATTTTCTCTTTCATTCTTCCTATGTTTGTTTCTTCGACGGTGTTGTTTCAGGTATCCCCAAATAACCTTAATTTCCTCAAACTTTTACCATTTATATGTATTTCTATGTTTATGTACTTGCTTCACATATATTTAAAAAATGTAATTTTTATTTGTTAGGGGTTCAATTGGGAATCGAGTAATAAGCAAAGTGGATGGTACAACTCTCTCATCAATTTAGTTCCAGAGTTGGCTCATGCTGGAGTTACTCATGTTTGGTTACCACCATCATCTCACTCTGTTTCTCCTCAAGGTAATTTTGCGATCTAGTGATTAATGAAGATCGGGTTCAATGATCCGTCCAACTCAGTGAGTTAGTTGAGTCTAGGGCTAATAGAAAATATGATTTGTCCAACCCATTCAATATGAAAATACCAATCCATAAAATCGCTCAAATTGACCCTTAGGTCCTTATTAAAATATTTTTTAGAAACTGACAATTTTAAAAAAAATATTATATTAAGTTAATAGATCAAAAAGATGGAGTAATAGTTTTATCAGTTTCTTTAAAAACTTATAAAAACATGGAAAGAATTGAATGAGTTCGGTTATGATCTGTTTTTAATCCATTACGACTCAATTAACTTTTCGGTGGTTCATATCCATCCAATTATCAACTCACCTCATTTTAACATAGTCGTACCGCCCCATTTAATACCACTAGTTGAGACACATGTAAGTTACCCCGAACGCAACTACTGATGGAAAAAGAAAAGAGCGGTATTTATGTTTTTCTTTTTGTTTCTCACGTTCAGAACTCATATTGGAGCTACAACTTAATTCGAATCGCGTTCTATAGGGACTCATTTGGAAATGACGGTTCCAACATGATTTTTTCCATACTCAAAGGCTCGACCCTGAAACCTCTGGTTAAGGGGAGTGGTATTCATGTTCAATTGTTAGAAATGATAGTTGTACTTCCCATGATAGGAAGGTGGATGGAATCCACAAGTTTAAGACTAGAGTTTGAGCTAATTGTCCTATAAATGGAATGCATTTTACATGTTTGAAAGATTGCCCAAATTAAAAGTGATGTAGTTGTTACAAATAGGATTACTTGAAGGCTTGTATAATCTTTTATGCCAGGTTATATGCCAGGAAGATTGTATGACTTGGATGCTTCCAAGTTTGGGAATCAGCAAGAACTGAAAACTCTTATTAAGGCTTTACGTGACTATGGGATCAAATCGGTTGCTGATATAGTAATAAATCATCGATGTGCTGATAAGAAAGATAGCAGGGGAATATACTGCATCTTTGAAGGAGGAACGACGGATGACCGGCTTGATTGGGGTCCGTCTTTAATTTGCAAGGATGACACACAATATTCTGATGGCACGGGGAATCTAGACACGGGTTTGGACTTTGAACCTGCCCCTGATATTGATCATCTTAATATCAGAGTGCAGAAAGAGTTATCAGATTGGATGAATTGGCTCAAGTCTGAAATTGGATTTGATGGCTGGCGTTTCGATTTTGTTAGGGGATATGCACCTAGCATCACCAAGATTTATATGGGAAACACGTCCCCGGATTTTGCAGTTGGTGAATTTTGGAACTCTCTTGCGTATGGCCAGGACGGGAAACCGGACTATAACCAGGACAATCATAGGAATGAGCTAGTTGGTTGGGTTCAAAATGGGGGTGGGGCTGTAAAAGCCTTTGATTTCACAACTAAGGGAATTCTTCAAGCTGCAGTTGAAGGAGAGTTATGGAGATTGAAGGATTCCAATGGAAAACCTCCTGGGATGATAGGTGTTTTGCCTCAAAATGCTGTGACTTTTATCGATAATCACGATACTGGATCGACACAAAATATGTGGCCTTTCCCTTCAGACAAAGTTCTGCAAGGATATGCATACATTCTCACTCATCCAGGAATTCCATCACTGGTAAAAAAAGAATTCTTTCCTCACCAAATTCTTACTATGCATTTCTCATTGTGTCTATTTTACAAGAAATTTGTATGCTTTTCCGGGTAGTTGAGGAACTCGGCCTGTGTGAGTTAGCTAACAATGCCGGTCTCAGTAGTAGGCTCAGAAAAGATAAAATTGTTTAACTAATGATCTGTTCTCATAATACGGAATAGACATAATACATAAACAAAGACTCAAACTAGGCCTCAGGTGGCAAGTAATCATTCCAATTTTGAGTATGCACATCTAGACACCTCAACTTGTCAACACCGTGCTAGTTGAACACTCCAACTTACAAAATGATCATCTAGACACCTTCAAAATTAATTTGTCACATTAGCATCTTTGTCCAACTTGGAGTGTTTAGTTGTCAATTGAGACCAAGTTGAAGTCATGTCTAGATGTGCACTCTCAAGTTGGAGTGCTTACTTGCTAGCTGAGGCCAAATTTGAGTTGTTTGTTATGTATTATGCCTACAAAATATGACTCATACAGCCAGCCCTAACTTGATTGAGTTGAGGCATTTGCAAGTAGCTGAGGAGTTAAATTCTTGTTTTTGGTTGCAGTTTTATGACCATTTCTTTGATTGGGGCTTGAAGGATGGAATTTCAGCACTAATCTCTATTAGGAAGAGGAATGGGATTTGTGCAACAAGCAATGTGCAGATAATGGCTTCTGATTCTGATCTTTATATAGCAATGATTGATAAGAAAATTATTGTCAAGATTGGGCCAAAATTTGATCTTGGAAATCTTATCCCACCTAGTTATCAGGTGGCAACTTCTGGACAAGACTATGCTGTATGGGAGCAAAAGGCATTCAGTTACCATACAAAATGTCATCATGGACCAAATGTCACCATGGACAAAATGGTTCTCAGCGTTTAATGTCATTTGACTGAAAATGTAATGTATATCAGAAACACATAATGAAGGCAAAAAATTCAAGAAATTATATGCAATTTGCGATCATGGTTCATTCCAGGCAATAACAGGACTCAACTTTATACAAGTTTAAGTGTTTACTTGTGCACACAAAAAATTGGAGGACATATATGTGAGTTGAAGGTAAAGTTAAATGACATATTTATGTATTATGCCTATATTTAACCGTGAATCAATAGAATTAACACTTCCTTTGATAAATCTGAGCTTGAAGCTCAAAGATTCATTACAGGAGAAATTTTGAAGAAGAAAATAAAAAGTAAATTTTATATTGCGAATAATGAGCAGGGCTCTATTACAATTGTATCTACTCCTACTATAAGCTCAACTTTCAAAAAGAACCAAAACTGCTTATACATATATCCTATTTTACGTGTGGAGATTACCTAGTTTGAAGGTATTTTGGTTTAAATATTTTGAAGGGAATGTTCTTGGGAGATTCTTGTACTTATTTTGGATTGTTATTCTGGTTCCTTTTACTTTCGATTTTGCCAATTGAACACTTAACTTATATTTGAACATGCAATATATATGAAGTCGATCATGGTTTTAAATCAACGTCATTTGAAATTGTGGTTAAAATCTATCCAAAAACATAATTTGGAATTTCAAATCGTGATTTATTTTTTTAATGTAAAACATAAGTTTAATTTTGTTAAAAAGAACCTGTCATTTTAAATTTTGTGAAAGAAAAAGACTCATGTATGACATGAAAAGATATTGTCTATACCATGTTAAATGATTATATTAAAGAATAACTAGTTATTACTATTGTTGACTAGTGATTTTTTAAAAATAAAATTGTGTATATTTAAAATTTTGCAATCGCAAATATTTATTTATAAAATTAAATACGAAGATATGTGATCTATTAATGCAGTGCCTTAAAATATTTTGATATATTGTTAATTATGAATTATGTTTATAGATTATTTTTTTTGATTTCATAACTTGTGGAATTTTCATATTTATTTATGAGAAAAATATAATTAAAAAAATTTCAAATTGCATGTTTAAATAAAAACTTCAATTTCAAATAATAAGGAAGATGATGGTCGATATAGGCTTTTTTATTTTTTATTTGAGATTTCTATGTGATATTAAAAAATGACGTGAAAGTTGATATGTAATCAAATGAAAAAGAGTTTAACATGCTGAGTTTAAGTGTTTAGTTGGAAAAAAAAAACATGCAGAAGTCAAAATAATATGTTTCAAATCATTAAGGTATTTTTGTAAACATATATGTTGAGATTTATTATTTTGAATACAACAAATTAAACAGTCAATAAAAAATAATCTTAGTATAACTTATCCCATAATTACTAATATGATCATAACTTGAATTCAAACCAAACGACTATTATTTGTAAGATAGTAGTAAAGTAATACTAATATTTTGATACATTATTTTTATGTAACGACAAATGCAAATACAGTAGTACGTAGTATATAGTATCTGCAATTAATCATTATAAGTAGTAGTAGTTTCTTTAAGAGCCTGGAAAACTGTAGAACTTTTGTCAAAAATCTGGGCTCTCCTGTTGTAATCCATTGGTGCTTTCCCTTCATCATCTCCCATGATTGCTTCTCTTTCTAAACACTCCAATAACTCCACCATTCCACCGGCCACTTCTTTACACTTACTTGACATTCTCCCCAACTTATCAATTTGTTCATCTAATAATTTCCTTTCTATTGAATCTCCTTTTCCACACTTGGACGATAATAATGGCTGCCGGAGCTGATTGCTATCGATATATTTACCATAATCGCTTGGAATTTGGAGGTTATGAATTGCAGAAATGTTGGAATTGGGAATCAGAAAATGAGTTTTCACGTGAGGGAGAAAAGATGCCATAGCCGTCAAACAAAGATTTTTTTTTGAGATTCAGAATTTCGTGGGAATCAAAATAAAAAAGCTGCAAATTTTTTGTTGATATTGGCGATCGAGAAAGGAATGGATATATATATATATATATATATATATATATATATATATATTGTAGAAGAGTAGTTGAAGGATAGGCGCCACGTGGCGAAACTGACATTGTCACGTGGAAGGAAGGTCATAGCTGGAAACGGCACGCTTCTCAAAGTGATGCCACGTGGCGTGCTAACTGTGACAAAGATGGTTGCGGGCACCGAGTGGAGCCGTTTCAGAATTCCCTTCAGCTCTTCTACCATATTTTTGGAATTTTATAAAGGGAGTGGGTAAAAAATATCCTTAAATTATATATTATTTTTTTCTTTTTAAATACATTTTCTTCTTAATTAATATATTAAAAATGTTCTTGTTTTCTTTCTTCTAATAATCACTTTAACAAATAAAAATGTAGGACATCTTATCAATTAAAATAGAATAACTTCATGTACCCTTTCGACAGATAATATATGTCATAGATATAAGATCATAATATATCCATCATTAATTTATATTTATATAATGATAAACAAATTTATAATAAAATAAGAAATATTTTCATTTTTTATTTTTTTCTGAATTGAAGTAAGATAAACATTTACTAATTTTAAAAAAGTATTATTAGAAAAAAATGTGTTAAAAAGAAAATAAATAATATATTTATTTGAAAAAATGAACATTTTTTTACCCAAAATAACAATAAGGGTATTTTTGGATCAAAGTATTGACGGAAAATATATTTTTGGATTAAACTACAAACTGAGGGCATTTTTGTTCCTTTCGCATAATTTATGGGTATTTTGACCCTTTTTCTTTTTATAAATAAATGTAAATATTTTCAAAAATAATTAATTATAAGTGATAGGAAAAATTGAATTAATGCTTTTCTTGATTTAATAAGATGGATAACTAATATGAAACAAATTAATTATTTTTAGTAAAATGATCAACTAATATGAGATGAATGAGTAATCAATACTCCCTTTATTCTTAATCCAAGTAAAGAAGAACCACACGCAACTCACTTCCCAATGTACGTTGAATTGTGCTTCAATGATTTCTCCTCAAATTTACTCACACCATAAGCAAATGCCAAATTCTTGTAAGAGACCTAATATAATATTGGTTACTTAAAAAAAATAAATTGAGTTATTGGTTCAATATTGGTTTTTTAATATTGGGTTAACCGATAACCCATTAAAAATATAATAATTTACTATTTTAATTTTTAGTCATACATAAGTATCAAATAAAAAATATTAATATAGTCACTATATTAAACTTTAACTATAAAGATCCTACGTAATTAACATTACTTAATTAACTCTGCTCTCTGCAATTATTCTTTTGCTCTCGGCATTTATTCTTTAGATTTTAGTATTACTTTAGTCTGTTAGGCAACGCCTAGGGTTGTGACTTATGAGTATTTGTTATACTTTTACTACACTAAGCAAAAATTTTGCACTCAATGAGTAATTAGATTTCTCTCTTTTTTATTTTGCGTTAAATTGTTGGACAAGTCATATATTTGTTTTGAAATCATTTTTTTATTGGTTAAATCGAAAATCGAACCGCGAAAGACTAAACCCGATAAACCGAAAATCGATAACAAATATCTTATTGATTTGATTATCGATTCAGCATATTTAAAAATCGAAAATCGATAAACCGAACTGATAATACTTAAAACCGAACCAAACCGATCGATACAATAGATACTCGAGTACATATATGTTGATTCAAGTAAATGAGTAATAATGTATACGCCAAATTACAAGTAATAATGTGCAACCCTAATGCGATTTAAAGAATTTAATTGCATATATTCGCTAGCCAATTGTAATGTGATATTGGATCTCTTATGAATTTGAATTTCAAGTCCAAAATTGATAATTAAAAAAAAATTGGAGTACTGAGAGAAAATGGCCAAATGAACCCCTAATCTATTATTGAATTTTCAACTACACACTTATACTTCACGAGTGTCCTATTACCCCTCTGAGCTATTTAAAAGTGGAATTATTTCCTCCCTGAAATATCATTACCAGACATGTGTCTTGTGGTGAAATACACGCACTTGACATGTGTATTTCACCATTTAATAATTATTTTTTTAAAAAAGCTCTCCTCCTTCCTCTTCCTTTCTTCCCCAATCATTTTTTCAACTCTAACTATTCTAAACACCATTTTTTACCTCAATAAATTTCTATATCTCTAACAATTTATAAAAACGAAAATTCAAGTCACCTTTTCTCTTCCCCATTCTTTATTCTTTCTCCCACTAAAATTTTCATGATTAATTTATAATTTGAGTTTTTGATTTTGATTCTTCATGGGTTTTAGGAGAACATCTATGATCCTTCTTTAAAAATGTAGAAGAAATTGTTTTGTTTTAGTTTCTTTTAATTAGTTTGAGGATATTTTTTAAATATACAATTAATTCACTTTGATTTTGTTACTCTTGAGTACATGACTTTAAAAATAATAATTAATGGGTATGTTTATTTAAAAAAATAAATTTAATTTGTTAGATATGTTCTATATAAGTCTATTGACAAATTATTTATTCATAAAATGCATTAGTTGTTGATAATTTTTATTCCAAACATCCATTGAAAAAGCTTCAACAATGATAATGGTGAGAAATGTATAGTTGTATAGATAAATAAGAAGAAAGAAAGAGAAAGAAAAAAGAAACTTAGAAAAAAAACAGAAATTAAAAAAAATAGGCAACTCACTCTCTCAAAGAGAGTGACATACACTCTCTATGCCAACTCAGCACATAAGGGGTTATTTATTCCATTTTAAAGTAGTTCAGGGGGTAATAGGACTCCCGCGAAGAATAGGTGTGTAGTTGAAAATTCGATAATAGATTGGGTGGTCATTTAGCCATTTTCTCGAGTACTGATAAGCGGGACAAAATGTTTTTTTATTTATTTATTGGGTCCATGTAATTTATATGGTATAAAAAATAATTTATTTTGCTATGCCAAATTTATTTTAGTGATTAATATAATTGGATGATTTTTCTAGATAAATATCTTAAGTTAAGTGATTTTATTGATATAAAACAAAGTTTAATGACTTTGCTAGATAATTTCTCATAGTTTAATGACCTTTTATGATATTAACTCGAGATTATAGATTTTTTTTTTTGAAAAAATAGTTTAAAAAAAAAAGAACTTGACAAAATCGCTGCTGGGCAGCGATTTTAATTTTTTTTAACAGCCCAAACGAAGTTACTTTACCAATAAAGATCTCGCAGCCTCCAGAGTGATTTTACTCTTTTTTATTTTTTATTTTTTATATACCGTTTATGTTTTCTGAAGGAAAAAAGTTGCCCTTTTGACTCCGAACTCTAATTTATGATCAAAGGAGTTTAACACACAAAAAAGAAAAGAAAAGGAAATAGAAGATAAAACGGAGAGGCTTGGGCATGAAAATGACAAAGTCTATCTATACAATGGTGGATCCATTATGGGAGGAAAATATGTACAACCGTTATACCTTGTGTGCTAAGCACTAATGTACAAAAGAATCAGCTATCTACAAAACATAGAGGCGTGCATACATGATTTAAACTAGATCTTTTAAGTTTTAACACTAAATTCATTCTACTTTTGAACTTATGGATACATGTATAACATTTATTGAATTTTTAGAGGATATTCACACACATTTATGAATTCACATACAGGTATATATATATGCTCCATGTCAAAAAAACTGGATTCGGAAGAATGCCCCTGTGACAAGATAACTATGACCAAAATAAGCTGCTAATGGAAATTTACTAGCAGCAACAATCTCCTATCCAGGACATTCCACTGCTTATGGATAGCATGATAAATGGATGAATCCTTCATTCAGGTCTTGACATATCGAAATAAAAAAAGAATGGAGTAGGATCATGATCCTAGTTGTTCCTTCAACAGCAGAATTTTGTTTATTCAACAATTCTCCTGTGGCTCTTGACCAGATGTTTGTTCCCTAAGCCTCCTCTCAGCAGCTATAGCAGCAGCAACAGAAGGTGGAAAATGCGTCAAGCTCTGAGTTGCCTCTTCATCGGTGGAAGGTGTCGGTGCCACCCTGAATAAGGATTCAACATCTCTTAGCGTCAAAATGGGCTGATCTTGATTCTTTCTGTTGCCACTAACAAATGAATCAGTATTCCTGCTCTTGTTCAGCTTGTATATGCTCTCCTCAACTGTGTCTTTCACCTATTATAAAAAAAACAACAAAAAGAAAGAGATCTTGATGAATCACCCCCAGTTAAGGATGTACTGTACTATATGTAGCAACAATTGAAAAATAAGACTGGAAAGTAGGTCTTCACCCACAGTCACTTCAGACATACATAAAACGACACATTTTATGTTGCTAATAATAGGAGACAGCTCAACCGATAGTTATAAAACAATACTACAATTTTTGGTTCATTGTACCAGAAAGTTTAGATATAACAGAGTTACCATACAGAGTTAGGTTTCGACTCCCAATTCAATTATAATGAAGTTTCGATAGAGATACATACTATAAAACGGTGAACAAGAGTCTTATGTGCTTGTCCAATTCGATGCACCCTGCCAATGGCTTGTGCCTCTGCTGCAGGATTCAGCAATGGTTCAACAAGTATAACATGCTGGGCTTCCAGAAGATTGAGGCCATTGGCTCCATGTTGGATCAGGAGCAGCAACACTTGAATGGATCTAGTTTCTGGTTGACCCACATGTCTTTTGCCATTTTCTTCGACATTGTTGTTGTGGCCTCTGAATTGGCTGATGGCAACATGTGATTTCCTGTGAACGCAGTACTTAAGTTTAAAACTTGAAACTAATGTGTCATAGCACACTCCTAAGACATGCAACATGAAATATTTGGCCATAAAATCAAGAGCTGCTTCCTTCACGGATTTTAGGAATGAACTAAGAATGCAG